AGTTAACATGTAGCCATTTAATATGTACTACAATAAAGTTTTAATGTACAAGGACAAAGAATGATCTTCAGGTTCACATACAACTTGTTAATAGGTCAGCAAGCATGGCAATGGAGTTTAAACACATGGAGCTTTATGTCATGTCAGAAAGTAGTAAGTTTTTAGTGCTATTTACGCTCTATTTCAGGAAAGTTAGCGTAGAAATAAAGAAATCAGGCTTCTGTGAGAATTCAAAGCATCGGACAAATCCTTTGCAGGCAGTGGGTAAAAAGTACCAATTCGTTATTGCCATCCAGATATGAAGCTACATCCAACTAGATTTAGAAGCATCGATCATTATGTGTGTGTGTGTGTGTGTGTGTGTGTGGGGGGTGGTGCTTCACCACCATCGAGCATTAAATGTTAATTATACGAATGTAAGGCGAGCTTGGAAATTGGAATGAAATATGCCAACGAAACATATTCTTCTTCGTAAACAAAATGCAATGCAATGTGACATGCTACTCTTGCCATGCTACACAGGCTGTAGTTCCACAAAGTCAGCGCAAGCAATTCAACCAGGCAGAAACAGAAAATTAACAAATTACCTCTTCCACGCCAGCCTTAGCCTCGGACTCGTCGCACACGCACAGCCACTCCCTCGGTCCCAACTTGAATACCTGAAAGCAAAACCCAAACGTGTCACTCCCCACAAAACGTCAGAGAGCAGCGTACACCTCCCCAGAACCACACCAAATCAAGCCAAAACACAGGCAGGGGCAGCACACACACTGCGCCCCGAACCCAAATCACATTCACCGAGATCACGGCGGCTACCTGCGCGTCGGCGAGGTCGATCTCGACCGTGGACTCCGCCTCGGCCTTCCCGGCCTTCACGAGGCTGAGGCGCGGGGCCCCGGTGGCGGCGCCGAGGCCGAACGCGGCGGTGGCCCCCTCGGCCGCGGGCACGGCGGCGGCGGCGGAGACGTCGGAGAAGGCGACGTTGGGGAACAAGTCCGGCGACGACGCCATTGGGTCGGGACCGCCGGGATCAGAGATCGTAGCCGCCTAGGGTTTGGGGCCGGCGGGGCTAGGGTTTTGCGTTGCGGGGGCGGGCGCTTGCCTCGCGAGCTGCCGCTGTTTGTACTCGTGGGTGGACTGGGCTGCGCGCGGTGGCGACCACCAGCCTTCGTCAGACTCTGTCAAGGACACCCAAATTACAACACACATTTAACGGTAGCGCATTCGGCATCTTCTCGAAAACACAGGATCCAAACAAAAATCATTCTGTAAATAAATTTTCAAAAAAGAGAATCATCATATTTAAATTGGGTCTTTCACATAACTTAAAATAAATTTTTCATATAAGTAGTCTGTTGGAGATTAATTTTGACTCTCTGTTATCATTTTGGGTTTGGGTGCTTCTATGCGGCGACGACGTGGACACGACGACGGAGCCCGGAGCCAGAGTTCGCGGGCGGTTGGGCCCACGAGTCATTGGAAGGTTCCGTCGCTTTTGAGACCGTGGGAGTTTGTTAAGTCCCCCGCGCTAAATCGGGTAATTTGCGGATTGGTCTTTCGTGACGTTCTGGGCGATTGGATTTGTTTCGTTGGAAGCCCAGAACACGTGTGGGTCATCGCCTACTTCTGGCGGCCATAGCGACGACGTGGCAAGATCCCTCGGAGGAATCAGGAAAGGACTGTGACATTTGTCAAGCTTCAAATGGCAAAGCTGGGCGGCTGGCCACGCGGCAGACTACTATTGGATGTAACTGAACGAGGAAACCCATCAGCGTAGAGTTGTTGGCCAGTTTCCTTCCGGCATTGACTGAGCTAGATAAAGCCATTCTTATTTTAAAGCAAGTATAATTAAGTCTTACTTCAAGCTGCAAGATCATCTGTGTCATCAAAATCCTACCTAAAGGAGAGAGAATTGAAGCGATAGAAGGAAGCGGGCCATTACTTAACAGCCCGGCTGCAGCACACGCAACGAAAAAAAACCCTCCCATTCAATCTCATACGTTCTTTTGCTACTACTAGTTATTCTCTTTGCAGTCAACCTATTAGCTTGCCTATTATACAAGCATATGTGGCTAGCAGCACGATATGGGCGGGCTTATTATCCTTGCTCTTAAACACGTTCAGACTTATATTGTTTGTTAGTAAAACTTTTCTAAAAAAACGCTATCATAAGAGACTACATAAATGGGACATGCTATTGATAAGTATACCTGGCCATGCAGCCCGGTAGCCCGGCCTTTTGGCCCGACACGAGCACGGCCCGGCCCGCAGGCCACCGGGCTCAGGCTAGCCCGGCACGCAGCGACAGGCCGTGCCTAGGCTAGCAATTGAGCCCGCGGGCTGGCACGGCCCGGCACGGGGTTTTGGAGGAGGCCCGGCAACGGCCCGAGAGGGAGGCGGCCTAGCTCGCCAACGGCTCCCCCCACGCCGCCACCCCAGACCCCACCTATAAAAGGCGGCCGATGCGGCGCCCCCCTCCCGGCCTCCCCTCAGTCCCGGCTTCCCGCACTCCCGCTCGTAACCTAACCCTAATCCCCAATTCCTCATTCGCCCATTCGCATCCCACCACCACCACCCGTCGCGTCGCTCTCAAACGCAGTGGCCAATGACGCCTCGCCGTCTCCGACGCCGACTCCGGTGACCACGATCCGCCTCCCGCCGGCGTCCTCCCCTCCATCCCTGCCTCTCCCTTCTCCCTCTCCCTATCTCCCCTCTAGATCTCGTTGATTATGTGAGTTGGTTGTCTCTGTTTGTCCCTCCTCCGCCGTCCGCCGTGGCCGCTGTTCTTCGAGTGTGTCGTCTTCTCTGGACTCGGTGCTCGCTGCGTCTTCTCCGACACCGGCTCCCATTTGCAAGCAGTGAAACCCTAACCCCAAACCCCTAACCATGTTCTAATGTCTTCTTTTCTTTCAATGTATACTTCGATTTCTTCTTCTTCCATTGTTTCACAGGTCCAGTCGATGCATCATCTTCTAGTCATTGCCTTTAGAGCGAGCAAGGCGGCCACCCGCACCGCCGAGGAACGGGTGGAGAGGCGGCCATGGCCGACGAGGATGGCCTCCTCACGGCCCTCGGGTCGGCACGGCTCAGTAATTTGGCCATGCCTAGCAGTGCCAAGACAACACGGATTTAGCCCTCTGAGCCCGTGCTTGGGCTGATGATAAGGCACGGGGCCCGCAGCAGCACGGCACGGGAGGCACGGCGTGCCGTGCCAGGCCGTGCCGAGCCGGGCCGGCCCGATGGCCAAGTATATTGATAAGTGCCCAAAAGTTAAGCTCATCTAAGCTGGAACAATAAAAATCAAGAGTAAAGTCCATCACCGGTCCCTAAACTTGTATCGCTGTGTCATCTCAGTCCATAAACTCGCAAATCGACCGTTTAGGTCCTCAAACTTGTTCATCTGTGTCATCTCGGTTCCTAAACTTGTTCGGCTGTGTCATCCCGGTCCCTAAACTTGCAAATCACCTGTTTAATTCCTCAAACTTGTTCAGCTGTGACATCCCGGGCCCTAAACTTGGTTTTAAGTCTCATCTAGGTCAAAAATAGGGTGATCTAAAAATTTTATATAAAAAAATAATTTATAACTTTTTCATATGAACTCGAATGAAGACAAACTTTATATCAAAATTGTAGCCCTCGACACGATCTACGACTTTGTAGTTGAAAAGTTTTTGAATTAAAACTGTTTAGGGTCCCAAAATATTATTGTATGTTTAGGGTCCCAAAACTTTATATCTCGTGGGCGAGCACTACCAGACCCTCACGGCCTCACTCCTTGGTACACGTATGGGAGTTTCTAGATTAAAAAAAAAAAGTAGCTGAAGATCCCTATGAATAATTTGCCTCCATTGGTTGGATCAAGATCAATAAACATCTCCAGCTGCCGAGTATCTGTTCCAGCATCCCCTGAACTGCCATAAGTAATATTACTGCTATAAAGAAAAGAAAGAAAAACATTAGTGAATGTCATGTCCTCTGTCTGAGCCGGGTCAGCCGCTAATCATCCAAGTAGTGGAACAGCAGTCCCTGTACAGCTTGTATGTAATGCTGTCTGCCTGTTTGCAGCTCTTGGCAACAACATAACGCTGATAATCTGATATCGCTTGCTGCCGCTGCACAATCGTCAACAAAGGCTGCCGACAGATTCACAACCGAACTACTATTCTCATGCGCAGCACGAGGATCAAAGCTGGTCGCAGTGAATAAACGAACGTGAAGACAATGCCACACCGTTTTAGTTTCGTTGCAGTTGCCCAACGTAGCCAACTAAACGGGGCCTTAAGTTGTGTAAAAAAGTAAAATGAAGGAACTAGACGTTCATTGGTTAACTAAGCAGTCAGGGGCAGAGATCGTCTATTTTTCACCATATGGTGGAGTGTGGGCTAAGCACCATGGATCTGCTGTACTAAACGACTATAGTCATTCGAATGTTATATTCCCTTTTTTCAAAAAATAAAAGAAAAAGAAAACTGAGATCATCTGAGCTCAGAGTACTGCATTTTCCTAGAATGAATGTTCAGTTCTGATATGCATGGGCATGGCTGAGTGAAAAGCTGAAGTGTTGGTCTGAATGAAACCTGGCGTTGCATGGACGAGATCAATCACCAATATAATGCACAACATCAAATTGTCCACAGAGCAAAGACAAACCAGCACCATCACATAAAGCAGACACACACTGCATTGCATCGATGGAATAATTAATCTTGAATGCTGTAAGAATCAATCAACTTATATTGGATATGGTCATCCACATAACACATCAGACAAAATACAAACGTCAATCTTAATCTTATCACAAGAGAATATCAACGATTTACAGCAAAATGGTAAAACCTCTGCTCTGTTCAGTTCATTCGGAATCAGGAAGATCGAGAACGCAAGCACCAACGAGAGCAAGGAGGGCGCGTACGTGCAAGCAGCTAGCGGCGAGGGCAATGGCAGAAGCGGAACACACAGCTAGCAGCCTAGCAGTCTCGCTCGCAGTCGCAGCTGCTGGCTCAGCCGCGGCACTGCGTGATGGTGGAGCAACCGCGGCTGTAGGGGTTGGCCTCCGCGCCGGGGCGGCAGTTGTAGTAGGATGCGCCGGGCAGCGAGCACGGCACGCTGTCCCTGGACAGCGCGGCGTAGCTGATGAACCCCGCCCACGTGACGGCGGCGTCGATGCTCGTGGCGTTGCCGTCGTCGATGCTCGTGGCGTTGCCGTCGTCGAGGCCCGTGGCGTTGGCGTCGTCGAGCCGCCGCCTGCCGCCGAACATGCCGCCCAGCCCGAGCACGTCGTCGTCGCCGCCGATGAGGAGCTCCGTGTCGGCGTCGGCGGCGCGCGCGTAGGCCGCCGCCGACGCCGCCGCCACCGCGAGCGTGGCGACGAGGGAGAGGAGGAGCGGGGCGCGCGCGTGCCGTGCCATGGTTCGTGGCGTGGCAGACGTGTTGGGCGTCTCTCTCGCGTTCGCCGCGTTGAGCTGTGAACTTGTGATATGGGTCGGCAAGGGCGCGCTGCGCAGATGAGAGGTTTTTAAAAACGGAGGACGGACACCCGAGGGGAGGAATCATTTGGACAGGCGGGCCTCCAGTTGCCATTTGACTTTGGGGCTCCCCTTGCTTAGGTAGGAGGACTGGGCTTCCACTAACAGGATATATGATTTTCCCAAAAATAATTATTCCGATCATATCATTTTAACAGGGTCATGATTGTCAGTTTAGCATTGACTTCCACCAACAGGATATATGTTTCTCCCATCTAACATTTCTTGCATTCACCTTTAATAATGTAGAGTTCCTTTCTAACACAAGATTTTCATATGAATCGTGCAGAATTTTCACATGAAAAATACAGGATTCAAAAAAAAAATTTTGCGTGTTCCATTGCTACTATAGAATGATTTTTAAAGGCACCAACGATTTATACCAAAAGCGGCTCAGTCAATAGTCGTGATTTCCGGAGAGACAGAGAGAGGCAGGTGGTGTAGCTACCTCTATAAACCCATTCGAGCCGTCTCTAAAAAGAGGTTCGGCCCAACATAGTGTTGTATAATCTTTTGGCTTAAGCATTGAGCACATGATCTTACGTACCTCATATGAAAATATAAATTATCATTAGGTGAGTATACTTTGACCAAACATGCCTCCTTAAGCATTCAAGCATCATACAAAGGGGCATAAAATCTTATAAAAATGATATAATAAAAAAATCCTAAAAGAAAAATTGTGGCCTAATAAAAATCTTTAAAACAGAAAAATAGAACCCAATATCCGATAGGGAGGCCCAGTGGAGCCAATATTTCAAACTGACATTACGGCCCGGGACAGGATCTAGGGTTCATATATTTCGTTCACTCCTCCACGTATAAAACCAACCAATCCCAAATTCCCGACCACTTACTCTCATCTCTGCTCGTCACGCTGCCGTCGCCGCCGCAGCAGCACCCGTCGTCTCCATCCTTTCCCCGAGGTGCGCCGTGATTCCTCGTCCCCCGAATCCTTTTAATCCCTCGATGATTCCTGTCTCAATCTGATTGCTCGCCAGTTTGCGGCGAACGTACTTAAATTCGTACGCTTCGTCTATTTTGTTCTTGTCGCAAAGTTTGTGCAATAGTAGTTCTGTACTGCTTCCGATCTGTGAAAATTGTTGATGCATGATTTGCATTGCATCAGAAGCTGCGGGTGTAGTACTTATAATCGCGCCCGCACTGTCTGATGATTAGAACGTGTGATCGGCGAGAGAGAGAGAGAGAGAGAGAGGTTGTTTTTGTTCCTGTAAAACCTGGTTAGTGAGGCAACTCTTGCAGTCTTGTTTGTGCAATGGGGTGAGAACAGTCTCCGCGTAACTGTCCAACTGAAGTGATTTGTATGTTGGGATGAAATGCCTTCAATATGTATGACGGATTGATTACATTTGAATTTGATCATAACTGTTTCTCCATACCATACATGATAGCTTGCTTATCTTGTTGATTTTTTGCGTGAGGTCGCCTTGGCTGCAATGGACTTTGGCTGTTGGTATTGTGATATTGGAATAGACAATGCTACAAAGCTTTTACAAAAATCCATAATTCGATTTTAGCACTAGTTCGGCACTGAACAGAGTTATCTTTAATAAAAACACCCATTTTGATTGGTTCTGTTCCTAACTAGCTGTTTCTTTTTACTATGGATATCAGTAGTGTTGCCGGATTATTCGTCATCATGCAGAACGAGGAGGGTAAGATGGTGGACCTCTATGTCCCTAGGAAGTGGTATGTGCAGTCATGTTCTCTGTCTGACACCTCGTTGAAACAGCAATGCCATGGCAATCCTTCTCATTCTTAGAGGGTGTTTGGGTCTTTAGTCGCTCCTAAAATTTATGTCACATCGAATGTTTAGATACTAATAAAGAGCATTAAATATAGATTAATTATAAAACCGATTACATAGATGGAGGCTAATTTACGAGACGATTTTTTAAGCCTAATTAATCTGTCATTAGCACATGTTTACTTTAGCATCACGTTGTCAAATCATGGACTAATTAGGCTTAAAAGATTCGTCTCGCAAATTAGTCGCAAGTTGTGTAATTAGTTTCGTAATTAGTCTATATTTAATACTCCATACATGTGTCTAAACATTCAATGTGACCGGAATTTTAGGAGCGTCTGTGGAAACCAAACATGACCTTACTCTGTGTCGTTCCTTGCAGCTCTGCCACAAACAGGATCATCACTGCCAAGGACCATGCCTCAGTCCAGATCAATACTGGGCACTTGGATCAGAATGGGTTGTATGATGACAACTTCACCACATTTGCTCTCTCTGGATTCGTCCGCACTCAGGTGCTGTACCCCTGCTATCCTGACAGTAGCTCTATGCTTTTATTATCTAGATTACTAGATTGTCATCTTGCTGTTTTTCTCTGCTACCATTGTCATGAAATGGGTGACCCTTTGTTGACTAGATCTGGTCTCAGTATGAATTTGCCGTTAAAATGATATTATAAAAATGCCTGTGTTTATCCTCTGAACAGTTTCATCTAGGATGGTCTGAAATATCATGGTGAATGTTCGTGAGTTAGCTGTAGCGCTAGCGTTCTTTCAGTTACACACCATGGTTTCAACTTTCTGATGAGAAAAGAAAGATCTAACTGATACTTGTCTTGCATGAATACTATATCTTAGTTGACCATGATGGATATGCAAACTTGTCTGAGATTCTTACACCATTGGTTTTGCAGGGTGACGCGGACAGTTCTTTGGATAGGCTGTGGCAGAAAAAAGGGCTGACATCAAGCAGTAGATGAATTTACATCGAAGGTTTTACTAGCCAGAATCATTGTAAAGTCCTCAAGTATTTGTGGTCCTTGATTGAAGAACTGTTATGGTTCTTTATGTCTTTTATTAAACTGTGAATGGTCTGTGTGTTGGATATGTTGTAGTCCTAGTGGGAACCATGGTGGATAGCGTCTCACTAACCACAGGTCCATTCAACCGATTCAAACACTTAGCCACCGATTCAAGCACAACCTATGGTACATTGTGCAAATCTTTTTTTTTTTGAAACGACCTTGTGCAAATCTTAATGTAACGATTGAGCCGCATTTGTGATTGACATTGATGATGTTGCAAAGCATTTTTTTTTTTTGAAACTTACAAAAAACGTTTCCATAGCACTAGTGGAGTAGATAGACGACTACTGGATGAAGTAGAGGTCTCGAGTATATCCCTTATCGAATACACCTTTGGTAGTTGACTTGACCGCGTTTGGCTAGCTCAAGCTCCTTGCCGTCCGGCAATCGTCGCCTCAGCTCCAGCACCAAAAAGGAGTACATATTGGATTTGAGCCCACTGCGAGCGCCTAGAGGCAGAACCTGCCGTCGCCCAGATACGCCAGGCCGGCCATGTCCCAGAGGGAGCGTAGCCGCGGTCAAAGCACTCCCAGGGGACCGCCTCCCTCCACGTGTTGTGCCACGTCAGCGTCCGGGACCCATCCTTTCCGTGCTCGAACTTGTACGAGCGCAGGAGCCTGTTCCCGCCGGTGAGGGCGACGACGGCGCCGAGCTCCGGCGCAAAGAACGCACGGCCCTCCAGCCGACGCAGCTCCTCGGGGAACTCCACCCGCCAGGTGCCCAACCGGGCGTCCAGCGAGAAGGTGCCCTCGCCGGTGACGGAGATCCACACGCGCGTGCCCATGACGAAGTAGCTCGAGATGGACACGCTCTGGGACGGGAGCGCTAGCGTCCTGAGCGGCGGCCCACGGTGAACCAGCCGCCGTCGGCAGCGTCGGGGAAGAGCCGCCGGAGCATCTCGAAGCGGGAGGAGGAGGAGTTGCCGTATATGACCGCATCCATCCTGATGATCGTGTCGTCTCCCACGGGAAGCATGATGGGCGGCGGGCCCGTGTTGCGGGCGCCGGCCATGCCATCGGCTTCGGCTGGTGGGTTGACGACGCCCATGATGCAAGTGTGCCGCCGGGGGAGACGGCGAGGGGCCGGTAGTCGACCCACGTTAATGCCGGGGAGAGTGACAAGGGGCCGACCTGCAGCCTTTGCTCATTGTTGATGCCGATGTCGCAGACGCGATAGCCTTCTTCCTGATGCTTCACCAGCAGAGGTCGGTGGCCGGCGTTCATGGCGTCCGTCCTCTGCCAAAGAGGAAGCACCTGTAATGTAATGTAACGTAATCCGCCGGAGACGAAGCACTTGTGCGGGCTGCGCGAGGTGCCGGGATGATGATATCGCGGATCCCGGCCAACACTTCCGTCCACCGCGCCGACTTCTTATCGTTCCAGTCTCCGAACCGAACACGACTAGGAGGACTAGGTACTCACGGTCAATGCTCAGCAATATAGCAAGGCAAAGGTTCCGTCAATCCGATCCCGACTTGCTGCGGCCCCCATAATAACGGATACTAGCAAATTTAGCCGTGCGTTACAACAGGACCTACACATAGGAAGTTATTTTTAACTCGTATATATGAGCATGAATCATATGAGTTCGATTGATGGAATATTTGGGTATTATTAAGTAAATAAGTTACGGAATATAAGATATAGATCTTTATATTTAAAAGTAGTGAAATTGTCCATGTTCCAACGGACATTGATGATAAGAAAAAATTATATGTAAAGGATAGTGCTATGTGCGTATGACAGCACCAACTTCCTGGGCTCAGCCGGGAGACACCGTGATGGTATACCGCAAGGGTACCAGCAACAGTACGACGACGACTTAAGATATACATAGATATAATAACGGTGTTTAATTTTTTTAGATATATATAGTTTTTGTTATATATTTAGATATACATTACGTTGAGATACATACAAAATTTATTATATCTAAAATGCTTACAATTGACTTATATAATTTCACAAACGGAGGAAATACTTTTGGTACCGCCGTATAAGTTCTGTGGCCTTAGGTCATGGTCACCGATTT